TGAACCACCCAGGTGCCCCCCCACCTACCCAATTTTTATGCAGGGAAAAGCTAGTTAAAATAAGCATCAAGGATGGTGGTTTCTCCTCCTCTTCCTCTTCCCTCCTCCTCATCCTCCTCCTCTTCTGGGGTTAGGGGTAAGGGGTAATGTCCATAAAAAGGTGAATGTATGGAAAGTATATGGGAGGGGCTAACAACTTAGGGACAGTTCTATAAATTTGTTTTGGCAACTAGGTTTTTAATACAGTATTGTAATGAAAAAAAAAAACAAAAACAAAAACAAAAAAACAAACGCCAATTAAAATGTTTTCTGCCTTCCCCTTTTGCGGAGTCCCTGATCAGTCACCAGTAACCCAGATTCCCAGTACCCTGGAGACCGACCTCCCAGCAGTACAGTCCACAGATCTTGCCGTGTTTATAGGATACACTGCCTCACTGGGAGCACACTGCCACTGTCCTGCTCAACCCATCAATCAAATATTGAACTTGAGGGCACCTGGGTGGCTCATTCAGTTAATCATATAACTTTGGCTCAGGTCATGATCCCAGGGTCCTGGGATCCAGACCGGTATGGGACTTCCTGCTCAGCAGGGAGCCTGCTTCTCCCTCTGTGCAGCCCCACCCCCCATTCATGTTCTCTCTCTCTCTCTCTCAAATAAATGAATAAAATCTTTAAAAAAACAAAACCAAAACCAAATATCAAACTTGAAGAAGCTGTGGACTGGGCCAGCCAAGATGAAGGCCGTGAACACAAAGCAACCCAAAATGGGCCTACACAAGAAAAAGGAATCCAGAAGTCCACCAAGGTAATCTCTTCTCGCTGAGCTGAAGAACATCCCAGGCCTGGGTAGCACTGGCAGGGCGCTGGAGAGCATTTGTCAGGCCAAGCAGGCTCCGGTTACTCCTGGGTGGTTGGGTTTACCGACCGTGAGTCAAGCCAGGGCCTGCACAATAGACTGAGGCCTATGAGGGGGACGCGGAGGGGCCGACGCCTCCCGCCTGCCCACCGCGGCCAGCTTCCGCGCCACGCAGTGTGTGCCTCGGTCCTGGTGCACCCACCGCAGGGGAGGCATTTGGGGCGCCGCCCGCAGCGTGCAGAGGTCCTCCCACTGAACCACAGCCACACGCCATTACCTTGCAGGAAGGCCCTTTGTGAGACCTCGACCCTGGCAGCCGAGAGGCCACGAGATGGCAGCAGAGGACACAGCCCAGGACAGAAACCCTGAGCCATTTGCAAAAGCAGATCTTTCCTTAGAGAGAGATGGTCAGTTGCCTATAATCTTGTATTCAAGGCCAGAATAAATGACCGAATTTCAAAGAAACGAGGACAAAATTCGTCAACATGGAGAATTCCCCAGCCGCCACAGAATTCAGCTGCACATGAAGCCACGCATGAATCGGATATTTCCCCAGTGCTTAAAGCAAGGGATATGGGTCAAGGACTGGAAACACTGACGTCAGCAGGAAACTTGTCACAGTCACTTCTTTCTGTGAAGTTCCAACCGGCTATAATTCAAGAAAAATATGAGTGACTTCCACAGAGGCTGCCAAACTGATGAAGGGACAGATAAGGGTGGTTTCTGGGAAGCGTTGCGGCAGAGCGAGCTGCTTTCACGGAGCGGTCAGGAACGCTGGCGATAGGCAGGGGTGGGGGCAGATAATGAAGACCACAGGACGTATCAGACAACCTTTGCTTCGCAACTGGGAGAGGATAATGCATAGGGAAGGGGCATTAGTGGCACTGGAACTTAATCTCTGATCTTATGACTTGTCATCTAATCATCTAATGGTCCTTCCATTATACGTCCCACCCCACCCCAACACCCAGTTGTTACAACCTAAAATATCTCAAGACATCACCAAATAACCCCTAGTGGGCAAAATGCCCCCTCTCAAAGAATCAATGCCATAGAACGATATTGATTAAAAAAAAAAAAAAGGGTTAAGAACGTAATGTTAAATCTCTCCAAAACTCTTAAATTTCAAGAGAGGCCTCAAAGGCCTACAAGAAGTCTTGCACACCCAAAACCTGAATTCCCATCATATGTTTGAATAAGGAAGAGACTATAATTGAAGGACAACAGGCTGGATCTAGTCCATAGTTTAAGAAAAATTTGTTCTCAACATTTTAAAATCAGAAGAGTTCTCATGTAAAACGTCAGAATTTCTGAGGCCCCTGAGTGGCTCAGTCAGTTAGGTGTCTGCCTTCAGCTCAGATTATGGTCTTGGGATCCTGGGATTGAGCCACATGGGACTCCCTGCTCAGTGGGGAAGTCTCTTCTCCCTCTCTCTCTCTCCATTCCCTGCTGATCTCATGCTCTTTCTCTCTCTTTCAAACGAATAAAATCTTTTAAAAATAAACACATTTTTAAAAAGTCATAACTTCTGACTTGTCTAGGAAAATTGGAACTATGTCAATACCAGGCCCACAGTTCCACATGGCAATAACTGGGTGGAGTTGAGTGGGGGTAAAGTCTTGAAGTCGAATGTGCGTGTTCTAGTTTCCTACGGTTCCCACCAATCTCTGTTACATCATACCCAATCTGTTTCACTCGTTTACACTACTCCTCATCTCTGCAGGCAATTTATTTTCAACCTCTGAAGTGCCTGATAGTTTCAAGGTATTTTCCCATGTGTGATTTTATTTTAGCCTTGGTACTCCAGTAAGGTAGAGAGAATAAATACTATGATTATAATCTCCATGTAAGCAAAAGATACTTCAGAGAGTTTGACTTCCTCAAACCTACAAAACAAAACCAGAGCCTAAATTTCCCAACTCCTAGTCCTATTATTTTTTAGAGAAAAGTTTCTTTCTTTTTTTAATTTTATTTTATTTATTTATTTGAGAGAGAGAGAGAGAGAGCGAGCACACACACACATATGAGCAGGGTGAGGGGCAGAGGAAGAGGGAGAAGCGGACTCCCCACTGAGCAGGGAGCCTGATGCAAGGGTCAATCCTAGGACCTTGGGATCATGACTTGAACCAAGAGCATACCCCCAACCGACTGAGCCACCCAGGTGCCCCTGGAAAAGTTTCTATTAACAACTTCATTTAGTGGTTCAGGAAAAACTAAAGAGGTATATATGGGCATAAGTGCTGGAAAAGATGAGTTTCAACTGCCAAAATTTTCAAGAATCACCACAAATGGTTAACATTTTTTTCTTTTAATATTTCTGCTTCCCTTCCTCTAGGCGTTTGAGAAGAATGCCCTTGTAGCTGTCTTGCAGTTGGGTGTGGCTGTATGACTTGCTTTGGCTAATGAAAGTGCTATGTGTCCTGTTGAGGCAAAAGCATGTAAGAGCTCATGAACAATTCATGCTTACTTCACACATGGGGTGGGGACTCTAAGCCTCTTGGTGACTTGGGTAGGATCTCAAAATGGTGGCACTCCACCAGCTTGGGTTCCTGAATAACTTATAATGAACAGAGTCCACTGCCGGACTCCTCTAGACATGTACTGTGAGACCAGTCTTTGTGGTGTAAAGCCATTAAGATTTGGGCATTGTTAAGGGGCGTGGATGGCTCAGTAGGTACAGCATGTGACTCAATCTCGAGAGTTGTGGGTTCAATCCCCATGTGGGTTACAGAGCTAACTTAAGGGGGAAAAAAAAGATTTGGGCATTGTTACCAAAGCATAGCCTAACCTAACCCGACTGATAAGGTTCATTTGTAGGGTCACTGAACTTCTCCAAGAACTAGAATACAATTCCTAGATTTCTGATCATATCACTATAAGCTGTTGATCCTATCTAGAAGACGGAGTGAACTGTTTATTTATTTTTACCCCCGTTTCCTCATCCACCACCAACTTCCCACTTTGAAGAAAATTATTTTCTGAGTCTTGCACACAGAAGCTCTGCATTATTCGGGCAGTTAGACTGGGAGGAGAAGGGGGAGGCCCAGATCTTGTTTTCTCCATTCAAGAGCCTAATTCCAGAACTGTCTCCACCCACTAGTACTCACACAACCTTGTCATAGGGCGACTATTACCACTCCCAAGGTGTCACAAACAGGAGCTCTGCCGCTGGCACCACTGCAATGTCAGGGAAAGGCAGCCAGGCCGCGCTCTTTCCTCACTGATGCCTGGGCTTGGCTAAGTCCGGAGAAGCAGCATTCTCTAGGGAAAGAAGCCTTCTCAAGTGGGAACAAAAATGAGTGTGAGGCGCACACCCATCCTGGGCCCTGTGTGAATTTGGGGTGAGTTCTCTTAGTACTCCAGCTGTGGTCCATTTCTAGTTTCTCTAGCGGCTAGTAAGCTGCTCGGCTGGTGCTACTGGGTCTCCCAGTTTCCCTGGGCTTTTCTAAAGTCCACTCGAGCTTGTCATCTTTGCACACGTGCAAAGGTCAGAAACAGTGGGGGATGAGCCCAACCAGAGCTTCAGGACCAGACCGCAGCCGGGATCAAAGGTCCGTGGGGCAGCCGAGAGGCTGAGTCTGCGCAGTCCCGCTCCCGCCTTGGGAGAGAAAGGGTGGCGGTAACGCGGTCTCGTTAACACCGGCGTGCTCGCAAGAGGCGGGAAAGTGTTAGCTCGGGTCGCCGCGTCCCTTCCTCTTCCTGCCTCAGCCACCCGTCTGCCCAGCGAGCCTGTCCTCGTCCGGCACCTGGGCCCCGAGGGAGGGGGACGAGAATGGCCCCGGGCTTCTGACTCATCATCTCCAACCCCTTTCTCGCGCGCGCTCCAAGTCTCAGGACTTTGGATTTGGGCTCTGTGGGAGGGGGCGCAGCGACACCATTTGTGAAACCCAGCTCTGCCGAGGGCCAGCCCCAGCCCCTGCCGGTCCCCGAAGCTGCCAGAGGGAGGCCTGTGGACCCACAGTCAGCGATCAGTTGCCGTGGGTGGGGCGGCGGCGCCCCAGCGCAGGATAACCCGCCTGGTGCCTCCCCGCACGCGGGGCCAGTGGTCGCGTCCGAGGAAACTCTCGGCTAGGCCCAGACTTCCAGCGCCTCGCGTCACTCAGCAGATGCACACCGCCCCCATCCCGGAGGGAAGGCTCTTTATTTCCCATCAGGCCACGGAGGCAGCGGGGCATCCCGGGACTTGTAGTCTTCGCTAGAGTAGAAAGGAACAGGCTCGGAGGGAGAAAACTAAAGCACCCATGAACTGATTTCTGAGAATGGGCTTGTGCGGGACCCCGGGCTTGGAGTTGGATGGGATTGTGAGAGGTGGAAAGAAGAGAAAGTAGTGAGACGAGGCAGATGTGAAGCTATATGGGGAGGCGATGGGTATGGAGGGGAAAGATGGAAGGAAGTGGGTACAGCTGAAAATTGGTTTAAGGATGTTCCGCAGGAGGGCAGCTTTTCAGGGCAGTGAGGTGAGGGAAGGCTCCGGTTTAGGTATAGCTTCCTCTTGTGGGGAAGGGAAGAGCAAGGGGCCTACTCTGGATGAAAACTGAAGGTACTCCACCGGACTTCATGTAGGTCTCAGAGGACTCCATCTAGCTTCTGAGTTTTGTGGGGTGGGGGGCAGGAGGGCCTGGACAACGCCCTTTGCCAGGTTAGTGGAGCAGGACTTGCTTGCCTGCCCTTGTAGCTCACTCATTTGTTGCATTTGCTGTGCTGGCCACAGTGGTACCATTCTCCAAAGCAGCAACTTCCTCCAACTCAGACAGACCCTAAAAGCCAGACAGTTGTGAGGGGAGCAAACTGTAAGGGTGAGAAAGGAGGAATCCCACACAGAAACAACTTACTCCTTTTCTTCCATTTACTCTTGTTCCCATAGTTCTTCCAATATTTAGGCAGCTTCCTAATGCTCTCCCACATTTCTAATCTCAGTCATTTAGATACCCAGTTCCCTCTTACTCAACACTGGGGAATAAATATCTAAAACCAGAAAACCAATCAGTTTCTGGCTACGACCCCTTCTCCCCCTCAGCCCCCACCAACCCTGTTTTCTCTTAAGTGCCACTGACCAGTATAGCCAGTAAAAAAATCAGCTGCTAGTGAACTGCTTCATACTTTCCTCCCTGCCCTGAATACCTCCTGCAGCTCTTGGTAGAGCAGACTCCGGTTCCTGCAGCATCCCGGCTTCCTCTGGCTCAGCAGGAATAGTGAGTATGCCGAGACCAGCACTCCCCCTAGGGTGAAGGCCTCAGTGCCTAGCTCCACCGCCAGCAAGCCAGCCTGCTACAGGTAGACAGGAATGAGGATGCTACAGGGAACCCAGCACCTGTTTACCCCTGCCCCTTTCCCTCTTAATCTCTTAATTCTCCTACTTTCTCCTTTATTCACCCATACCTGGGAGGGGGCAGCTGAGGCAGCCCCCAAGGCTGTCTTCATTATGTCGACCACCACCACGATGAAGCCCAAGATCAGACTGAAGATGTTGAGTATCATCATGGCCTGCACCTGCCAATGAACCAGCTCAGTCCTGCCCAGCCTAGGGGACTGATTGCCGCTCCAAGCCCCACCTGCAGCCAAGCCCCAAAACAAAACTCAGCTCCTATTCCTCCACCTCCAAGCAGGACCATGAGCCCTCTAATTTCTTGCTTTCCCTCCTCAGTTTTTTAGGCCAGTCAGGGGCAGGGAGCTGACAGGATTGGTTAACATTTAGTCACTTCCTGGGCTGAGTGGGGTGTGTGTGTGTGTGTGTGTGTGTGTGTGTGTGTTGGGGTGTGTGTGGGAGAACAGTGCTGCATTCTCTTCCCCTCTCACCTTCCAGAGGCGGGGTGCTCTGCGCAGCTCAAGAGTGACAATCGCAGTGAGGAGACCCTGAATGGTGAGAAAGGCAAGTGTTGTACTCTGGCCCATTAAGGAGGGCCTCCAGGACCTTCCTTCCACCCTTTCTTGTGGTGTGTCTTACCAATGCTCCAGGCCCAAGTGGCAGTGCTGTGGCCATGTGACAGGCAGAGTTCATGCAGGCAACGGAGATAGCAAAGGGCACCACAGCCACTGCCAGCCATAGCTGGCTCACCTGGAGGCCAGACACAGGGTAGTTGAAAGGGATCTAGAGATTAGCAATTGGGAGGAATGCCCATTGGTGGGAAGTAGTCAACCAAGGCCAAGTGAAGGACCTTCTGCTTCATGTCCAAGTCTGGTTACTTACCTATGTGTTTTCCCCAAATAATGGAAGCTAATTGGGGATTAAGGTTCTTGCTTCATTATCTTATGCTTTTTCTACCCTCCTCCCACTCAGAAGCTAGCAGTTTCAGGCACAGGGTGGGTGCTCCCTAATTCAATAGAACTGAACCGGGTTACAACTGGACATGCTGAAGCTTGGGGTGGGACAGCCTGGCCTCACCGCCAGCACCAAGAGGTGCCCGCTCTGCCTGTGCTTTGCCCAGTGCTGTAGCTTTTCCAGACGAAGACTGGGTCTTTCCTGCTCCCGCTGAGCAGCTCTCTCCTCCATGGCTCCGCTGACCACTGGAGTTCGGTGCTTTCTAGGCTGGGAGAAATGCATTATGGCACCTATCAGGAGATAGGACATGGAGCAACATCTCTTTCATCTCTTTTCACCTTTATCTGCTTCCAAAATCCGGGGAGTTGAGGCTCAGGGCCTCAGACCTACCTAGTCTGAAGGTGCTACTCCAAAATGATGGGACCCAGCCGGGCCTGGAGCTCCTGGCAGGGTCCAGTAGCTCAGAGCAGACGACGAGGACGACAAACTTGTCTTGGCAAAGATGGGCTGTCAGGGCCGGGAGTGGTGGGGCAAAGGTCCCCAGAGTGCCTAAGGATCCAGGGAGTGGCTATGGGCAGACCAGCCTCAGTACATTCTACAAGATGCCCCACCCTACCTTACTCTGTCCCTCTTTCCCATTGCTGCCTTTTGTTCATTGCTGTTCCCATTTCCCATTGCTGCCCTCTCTGCCCATCCAGGGTCCTCTTCTGATTGCTCACCTCATCCCAGTGGACACTACCACTCTGGGTCCAAGTTTCCCCCCATTTCCATCTAATCTTTCTCCTTTTTTTGCTTCCTCCTCAAATTACCTGTAATATAGGGATATCCCATATTACTGTCTGAATTTGTCCCCTGTCATTACTACTTGGAGTGTTGTCTCAAGACCAGGCAAGGTTTAATTCCCCTGGTTTCCTGTCTCACTTTCTGGACAGTTTCTCCTCTCTTCTTCCTTTCTTAAAGGATTTACTCTGGATTGGACACTAAAGTAGATGGGGATCCCTACTTATAGCAGGGATTGTTTTAGTGTTACAGTGTTAATTTGCTGCTAGATATGTATAGAAAATAGTCCCCAAATGGCCAGTCTTGGGAAGGACACTACCATACCAAAGAACATTTTTGAGAGATACAGGTTGCCTTGCAGTCAGGCTGACCTGGACTAGGATCTCAGCTCTGTCACTTTCTCAGCTGTGTGACCTTGAATATTCTACCTATTTAAACCTTAGTTTGCCCAAACTGAGTGATAAAAAGGGGGCTAATAATATGACTGTGAGTGGTTGTTGGCTCATGGTGGGCACTTAATAGCCATCGCTGGTGGGATACAGTCACACTGATGTGCATGAGGCCCATATACTAAAGGCTTACTTAAAAGCTAAGCTGGGACATTTGTTTCTACAGTAAGGAGCAGAACCAGCTGGGCCCGAACATATACCTTATGAATCAAAAATAGGAAAGGTGCAGAGCCTGAGATCTGGAGAAAACCAGACTTATGTTCAAATCCCAGATCTACTGGAATGACCTTGGGCAAGTTAATCTGTTTCCTTATCTATAAAGGGAAGTTAATAATACTGATCTCAATACAATACTCAAGGGGTTACCTTGAGTATTAAAAGAGAAAATGCAAAGAACTAGCTCAGCCCAGTACCTAACACCTACTTGCTCAATAATTGTTAGTAACTCTTATCATATTTATTACTGATGGTAGAAGAAGACTGAGCCAGAAGACTCCTGGGAGTTAGTACTGACAGGCAGGGGTCTAGTGGTCCTTTGAAAGACACTTACGTTCTGCTCACGGCTGGGCCAACACTCATCTGATCACTGTGTCCACTCTTCTTTCCTGGGGAGTGCAAATCACATTTAAAGGGATCTGGAAAAGTTGTGGGTCTATTCCTGCCTCAGTCCCCATGTGCATTAATTTTATTTGGTAAGCAGTGACCTGACAGAATGTGAAATGTTAGGCTTGCTTTGAGGATCCCTGAGCTGGTAGGACAGTGGAAAGAGACTCTTTAGCTTCATTTTCCTTACCTGTAAATGCAGACTGATTATATTTCAGAGTGTTATTGTAAGGATTCTATACTATTAAATATGTGAACAGGCATTCCGTCAATATTGATTAAACCTGAGTATACTACTTACAAATTTGTAGCCCCTGTCTAGATTACAAGCTGCTCATGGGAAGGATCTACAAGCCCCTCATCTGCTCATCCCCCACAGTGCTAAGCATAGTGCCTGGTACTCGGTAAGCAATCAGTAAATATTTGTTGTATTGAAGAGCCATTAAAGTGACTTAAGGAATGGGAAAGAGAATTCGAGAGGAAGGAGTGGGATTTGTTTATCAAGAACAGAAAGGACCGAAGAGTAACTTTAATAATGTTTCTTATACGGCAGACATTAACTATCTCTATAATCGCCCCTCCTCCTCCTCCCCAAAAAGAGAGACAGAAATTGTAAGGGAGAGGCTTTGAGATAAAACCCCAGGAAGAACTTCCCGAGTCTGTGCATGTTGGGGCAGAAAGAGCGGCAGAGCCAACTCCTTCCCTGGTATGTCCGGGTTTAGGGTGGGAGGGGCAGTCCGGCTTGGAGGCTGGGGGAAGGACGAGATGACCTTTCAAAATCTCTTCCAGTCTCCTGTAGGAACCGTCTGTGCGTCCCACCCCCGCTCCCTCCCTCCCTCCCTCCGACAGCGCCCCCCGTCTCCAAACTGCCCGTACCCCGCCCCTGGCGGCCGCCTCTCGCGGCTCCCGGGGTCCCCAGCTCCCTGTCCCCGGAGCCAGAGCCCCGCTCCCGCTCCCGCGCGGCTCCCAGCCCCGCCGCGCCGCCCCCCGCATGCTAATGGCCGGGCCGCCTCCCGCCGCACACAATGCGGGCCAGGGCCGGGGGCGGGGGACCGGGGAGGGGGCGGGGGCCGGGCCGGGGGCGGGGGGGCCGGGGCCCGGCGCATCTCCCCCGGCCCCACGTAACGCTGACGCCCGCGCCGCCGGCCCGCCGCCCGCCGCCGCCGCCGCCGCCCGCTCCGCCGCCGCCCGCCCGGGGCTCGTGAGTAGCCGCTCCCCCCACTCCCGGCCCCCCCCTCCGCCACCCGGCTCCCGCCCCCGGCCCCCTCCCCCCCACCCGGAGGGGGGGGGCCCGCTCCGCGCGCCCGGCTCGGAGCAGGTGCAGGGGGCGGGGGCGGGGGAGGGGCGCCGGCTCGGCCCCAAGCAAACTTCGCCCAGAGCTCCTGGGGGGGCGGGGTGGGGGCGGCGGCCTCGGAAGCCGGGAGAGCTGGGGGGCCTCGAGGGAGGGCGGGGGCCAGGTGGGGAACCCGGGAAAGCGTACACCAAAGGGGAAAGGCCAGTGGGGGGGGTGCGGACGTCTTTGTAGGGGCCCGAAGGCAGGGCGCGAGGGGCCTGGGGGTGCAAGGCGGCCGAGCCGGGAGCCAGAGTGGATGAGCGCCCCCCGGCTCAGGTAGGGCTGATGGAAGAGGGGGAAGGGACCTAAACTCTCCCGGAGCGGGGATGGGGGAGGGGAGAGGATGGGGGGTGCTTCCCTCTCTGCGTCCCAAACAAAGTGTCACAAAGAGCTCGGCCGGCGGCAGCAGCGGCGGAGGCGGCTGCAACTCAGCTTTTGTTCTCCCGGCCGGGGTAGCTGAGCCTTGGCCTCCCAATCTCCCAACCCTGCCCCCCATCATCCTTCTAGCTTATCTTCCCCGGGAGGGGACTGGGGTGCTGCTGGAAGAATCTCTTCTGCAGGATCACAGGTCCTGCCCTACTTGCCAACCTACTTCTGGGAGGGAGATTTTCCCAGAGGCTCTCCTGCCTACCCCCACCCCCTAATCTGAGGACTGAGACTCATATGGGTGCTAAGACTCTGACCTTTCTAGGGTCAGCTCCAGTTAAGGGGACTTAGGGCTGGCGCCATGCCCCCTCCCCCAAATCAAGGTCCTCTAGAACTTTCAGAAGAGGGGTCAAGTTGGGACATGCCTGGGAAATAAGATTCGCCATGGTGGGGTGGCAGGTGTACCTACCTCTTGTCTCCTGCTGCACATTTGGAGTCAATGATTGAGGTGCCATGCCCCCAAATCAGGACAGTGAGGATGGAGGAAGGAGGCTTTACCAAGAACTCAGTGTAAAAGATGGGCGTGCTGTGATGTGGGGTCAGTTTAGAGGAACTCCCAGAGCAGTGAGGTTCAGAGGGCCATGGATAGGAGACCATGAAAGTGAGCTACTGGCATGTACTTGCGATAAAAGTGGTCTTGATTCTAGACCACCTAAGAAGCCCCTTTTCTTTCTTACCTCATCTTTTGCGGCGTTAATCATAATTGGTAGCAGACTTCAGAGGTGTGGGATTCTCTACAGGGGGAAGAGCATCAAATATTAGAAAAGACCAGTGACAGAGGCTTCATCACAACTATACCTCAGAAGTCCTGAATCCTTGCCCCTTACACTTTGACCCTAAAAACTTTTGAACCACGGGTTTGAGGTCCTTCAGACAGCAAATGCTTCTGTGTACCTGTCCTTGTTTCTAAGTCTTCTCACCAGCCCTTCCAGCCCTCCCTAAAGCAATAAGGTTGATGGTCCACACGCCCTTCCCCACCAGCTTTCCTAGCACACAAAAATAATTGGCCTGTTACTTTGGAACGATTTCCGATCCCTATCCCTGGCTCTGTATCCCTATAGAACCCAAACAAGGGCCAGATAACCCATGATTCCCAGTGAGGGTGGAAAGTAGGTCAGTACTCCTGTCTGGCCAAATCTCGTGGATGGTGTTTAGGGCCTAACTATAGAAAACTCTGTGATTATTGCCCACAGGCAATACATGCATGCTGTGGGTTCCAAGCTGGTTCATAGCTCTTGGACCCTGTTAGTGCTCTTTTCTGTTGAAAACAAACAAAACAAAACAAAACAAAACAAAACACTAGTGGGATCAGGTGCCTGGGGCCTCCTTTGGTGTGGAGATGACTCAGGAGGTCTTGACTGGGCCTAAGAAGGTGTCCAGGTGGGTTTTGTTGATTTGAGGCTACCCTCTAGGGAAACTTTCCCTGTTTGGGAATTCAGCTTCAATTTAGGCCTTCTTGTATATCACTTTTTTCCATCCTGGAAAATGCTATGTGTAAAGTAGGTCTTCTGTTTTTGTTTTGTTTTGGTGGAGGAAGCTTTGTCCTGTTCCTACTCTACTTGCTTCATATATGAGGTCAACCTCCCATGAGGTATTTTGCTTGCTGTGCTACAGGCAATTTTAGGGGCCCTAGAATCTTCTCAGAATCAGAATATGTGCCCATAGGTTAGTCAGCTATGACCATGCAGTATTCCCAGCCTCCCCCCCTCCTCCCCCACCATCTGCTTCCTCTGAATATACCAGATTGGCTGTACACCAGGATGTTCCGGGAATCCCCAGGAGAGCAACAGAATGTGATGGACCCAAATACGATGCCTCAGTAACTCATTCCAGGATGTACAAACTGTAACTGTCAGGACACTCCTTATAGCTAATTAAAATTCTTCTAGTTACATCTATTTTCTATTACACTTATCTATTTTCAGTGACATCTAAAAGGCCAAAATAATTCCTCTGGTACCAGTGTTCCCCACCCCCCCCATAGTTCCGAGATAGGAATTTTAAAAAAATCTTCTAGCTTTTTTCAGTGCTTTATCTGTGGTGCTAAAATGGCAAGTGTGGCCCCTCTAGCACTTCCTAGCTCTTTCTATGGTACCGAGGTGGCCAAAGTGGCTCCTCTGGTAGCCCACTGCACTCTCCATGGTACTGAAGGGATGACCATTTGTTTTTAACATCTCTCTGGGGTCCAGAAGAGTCCTGTGACTCAGAACCACAAATTTTTGAGCTGGATGGGACCATTAATATAAATTAGTCCAACTTCCTTATTTTACAGATGAGTAAACTGGGAGGTTAAGTGATTTATTGAAGGTTGCAGGGCTATTAATAGTCAGACTGGGCCCACAATAGCCTTGCACTCCTCAGTCCTACTCTTTAATTTACTTTTTGTGACACTACGCATGGAGCCCAGCTGGGATCTTGGTCCCAGGAAAGGGGTTTGTTTGGAGGATCCAGAAGATGATGGTGGATGCCCTAATTTGGAGCTACAGAAATACAAATGTTAAATGTGGTGGTGGAGGTTGTTTAATGACCCTTGGATGAGGACACTTTGTCAGTCAACCTCCTGTTAATAAAATTCCTTTAATCCAGATTTTACATGTAATAGGTACCTGCCCCTTTATGGAATATTATCACATTCATTAAATGTCAAAAATTAAAGAAGGCTTGGACCTCCAGAGCCTTTTCTTTTTGCTGATGAGCAGGGCTGACTCCTGGCCCAGTTCTCTTCTGTTAAAGAACCTTAAGCAAAGTAATGCTTGAGTCCTTTTCTTTCTCAGTAACCCATTTCAGTTTCACAATGCCTATTGTATGGAAGTTCTTTATATCTCAAATATTCTTTCTATCTCAGGCAAAAAATAGGTTAGGCCCACATTCATCCAGCCTCAACTGGAGACAATTCTATATGTAAGCAGGAAGGTAGGCTGGCTGACTTCTGCTCATCTTCCCCAGGCCTGTTTCCATGAATGTTAATTCTGGGGTTGCTTCTAAGTCCTAATGCTAACTAACCTCTGCAGCTTAGAATCAGGAGAGCACCCCCCCCCCACCCCAGCTTCTTCTCAGTGCTCTTCTCCTTCCTCAGAACTAGAGCTCTGCACATCCCAGGCCCAGGGAATTTCAGCCTGGAGAATTTTAACCCTTTCCTGCTCAGAGCATGTGCTGAGCCCCTATCTGTGCAGATGGCCCAGCCCCGCCCCCCGTCCCTCACTCCAGCCTCTTGAGCTCAGAGCCAGTGTAATCCTCCTCTTGTGTGAGGGAGCCTCTCCCCTGCAGAGAGAAGGAAAGCCTGCCTCGGAACAGCCCTGGACAAAGGGGCTGAGATGCCCCATCAAACTGCAGGCTCTAAGGTTTGAAACACGGGAATGAATCCTATCCGGTATTTGTAGTTTTTAACCCCTTCCCCAGGCCAGCAGCGCCCCTTAACTTCCACTCCTCCCCCAACTCTCTCTTCATTCCCTCTCCCTCTGGCTCTCTCCCCCTTCATGCCCCTCCCCCTCTGTCTGTCTCCAGACTCTCCGCTGCTGGGAGGTGTTTCTCTCCCATGCATGAATGAGTCTCTGTAATGAATGGAAATGAATGGATCAGGAATCCAGGCGGAGGGAGGGAGTACGAGGGGGAAAAGACAGAAAGACAGGATAAGGGCAGAAGGAAGGACTGTGGAGTGTGGAAGGATGTTTGGCTGATCGGTCAGTTAGGGGTCTGAGAGCAACTGGTCTCACTTAGATAACTGGGGGGCATGGCAGGCCCACCCCGTTTGCTCATCAAGCTGCATAGCCTGACTTAAATGGGAGAGGGGTATACTGTGATGGTTTCTACCACCAGGGGGTGGTGATGGTGGTGGTGATGGTGGTGATGGTAACGATGGTAGCGGTGGTTTGGGACTAGGAGTTTAAAATTAATACTTTGGGGGAAGACATCCTGGTTGTTAGGGAGCCTGTGGGCTGGGCAAATCAAGGAGTAAAAATTTTGAAGACAGCAGCCTCTTCCTGTGTCAGGGTGCAAAGAAGGGTAATGGATAGGTTGCAAGAGTACGGGCTGCTAAGAGTATGGGGTTGGGGGTGCCTCTTTCTACTGCTGAAAACCAGGGCTCATCTTTCCCTCCAAACCTGTCTCTCTTGCTTTAGCTCTTCAGCACCTGTTGCCTTCACTAGCAGCTCTTCCTCCTCCTCTTCCCTGCACTCCCCAGAACCAAAGAATGTGAAGGGGGTCCATGGAGGTGAGTGAAGAAGCTCCGGCCTGAACCTGCAAGTACTTCCGATTATACTCCTTCCCTGCCCTACCTCTCTTAGAAGTTAAGACTGTGGCCCCAACAGCTCAATTCCCATTCATATCCCACTTCCCTCAGGGTGAGTGGGAAGGGCACTCGGTATTCCTGATTCAGACCCCAACCCACCTTCCCTCGAGTTCTTCTGGCCTTCCACGCCCTTGCTTTTCCCACAGCTGTCCCTTCTCCACCCCTTGCTCTACTCAGGTCTTTCTCCACAGGGCTCACGTCCCCGCGCTCCGGGCGGCCATTTAGCGCCCTCGCCGCCCGCCTTCGACGGCGAACTGGATCTGCAGCGCTACTCCAACGGGCCAGGCGTGAGCGCCGGGTCTCCAGGGATGGGAGCAGTGGGCTGGTCCGAGAGTCGCGCAGGGGAAAGACGCTTCCCTTGCCCTGTATGCGGGAAGCGCTTCCGCTTCAACTCTATTCTGGCTTTGCACCTGCGGGCGCACCCAGGCGCCCAGGCCTTCCAGTGCCCGCACTGCGGCCACCGCGCCGCGCAGCGGGCCCTGCTGCGCTCGCATCTGCGCACTCACCAGCCGGAGCGTCCGCGTAGCCCCGCCGCACGCCTATTGCTGGAGCTGGAGGAGCGCGCGCTACTGCGCGAGGCCCGGCTGGGGAGAGCCCGAAGTTCTGGGGGCATGCAGTCCACCCCTGCCACTGAGGGCCTGGCGCGGTCCCAGGCTCCTTCGTCGTCCGCCTTCCGTTGCCCCTTCTGCAAAGGCAAGTTTCGCACTGCGGCGGAGCGCGAACGCCACCTGCACATCCTGCACAGGCCCTGGAAGTGCGGCCTGTGCAGTTTTGGCTCCAGCCAGGAGGAGGAGCTGCTGCATCACAGCCTGACGGCCCACGGAGCTCCTGAGCGCCCCCTGGCGGCCAGCTCAGCTGCACCCCAGCCTCAGCCTCCGCCCCAACCTGAACCCAGATCAGTCCCAGAGTCTGAGCCGGAGCCTGAACGTGAGGCAGCGCCTGCCCCCGCTCCCGCCGCTCCAGAGGAGCCCCCCGCGCCCCCGGAGTTCCGCTGTCAAGTGTGTGGCCAGAGCTTTACGCAGTCCTGGTTTCTGAAGGGCCACATGCGCAAGCACAAGGCCTCCTTCGATCATGCGTGTCCCGTGTGTGGCCGCTGCTTCAAGGAGCCCTGGTTCCTTAAGAACCACATGAAGGTGCATGCCAGCAAGCTGGGGCCGCTGCGCGCTCCGGGGGCTGGTTCCGGGGCTGCCCGGGCCCCCCAGCCTCCTGACCTGGGCCTGCTGACCTATGAGCCGCTGGGCCCCGCGCTCCTCTTGGCCCCGGCTCCGACTCCTGCCGAGCGCCGTGAGCCTCCGAGCCTCCTGGGCTACCTGAGCCTGCGAGCTGGCGAGGCTCGGCCTAATGGTGAGGGTGCCGAGCCTGGGGCCGGCCGCGGCTTCGGAAGCTTCCGCCCACTGCCCTCTGCTCTCCCATCCCGGGCTCGGCGGCATCGCGCAGAAGAGCCAGAGGAGGAAGAGGAGGTGGTGGAGGCAGAGGAGGAGACCTGGGCCCGCAGCAGGGCGTTGGGCCCTCTGGCTTCACTGCACCCGCGCCCAGGCGAGGGGCCAGGGCACTCTGCGTCTGCTGCGGGGACCCAAGCAAGGTCCACCGCCACGCAGGGTATGTAAGGGGTCTTTTCCCTCCAAGATTTCCACATCCGGGGCCCATTCTGACGCCACCACCGCCCTCCTTCCCCTCCTCTTTAAAAGGGACCTGTCTCTTACTCTCTATTGTTTTCACTCCTGGAGGTCACTTTTCGAGGGGCATAGCACAACTCACAACAAATCCAACCTTTCAGCTTCCCTCAAATAGACTGTTTCCTTCTGGGGTTCCAGGGGAAGCAATCCTAAGGGGTGGGTGTGGGGTGCGTGGCTCTGATAGGGATAGGGCAAAGGGCCTTTCTGACTTCCCTTAACGTGTGTGTTGCAGAAGAGAACGGGCTGTTGGTTGGAGGGACCCGGCCTGAAGGGGGCCGGGGAGCCACAGGAAAGGATTGCCCCTTCTGTGGAAAATCTTTCCGCTCAGCGCATCACCTTAAAGTGCACCTCCGAGTGCACACAGGTGAGGGGGACAGCCTCTGTGGTGGGGAGGGAACTGAGGGGCGGGAACAGAGAGCGCTGCCTGAAAGGCAGCCTGCAGTTTGGCCAGTTGAGGTGGTTGGGGGAATGCTGCTCTGTTAAATGAGGGTGGGGGTGTGTCTTTCTGGTCCAGAGAGGCCTGTATAGAGAGAGAAATGCGGGTGGGGCCGGCGGTGATCGTGCTTCTGTGACCCTGTCGCACCCCTTTCTCCAGGCGAGCGCCCCTACAAATGTCCGCACTGCGACTACGCGGGCACCCAATCCGGCTCGCTGAAGTATCACCTGCAGCGCCACCACCGAGAGCAGAGGAGTGGGGCGGGCCCCGGACCACCCCCAGAGCCGCCGCCCCCTTCCCAGCGGAGTGCGGTACAGCAGTCGGGAGCCAAGGCGGCTCCGCAGCCTGCGACCTGGGTGGAGGGCGCGGCTAACACCCGGCCTCCTTCGAGCGCGGCGCCGGGGTCCCGTCGGAAGCCCGCCAGTCCCGGGAGGACCCTGCGCAACGGGCGAGGCGGTGAGGCCGAACCCCTGGACCTGTCCCTGCGGGCGGGGCCGGGAGGCGAGGCTGGGCCGGGGGGTGCCCTCCACCGATGCCTCTTCTGCCCCTTCGCCACGGGAGCCCCTGAGCTCATGGCCTTGCACCTGCAAGTGCACCACAGCCGCAGGGCTCGGGGCCGCAGGCCGCCCCAGGCCGACGCGTCCCCGCCCTACGTCCCTGCACAATCCGGAGAGACCCCTCCCAGTCCTCCTCAGGAAGGGGAGGAAGGCCCCGGGTTGCAGAGAGCGGGAGAGGCGGGGCTAGGGGGACAAGAACGGTAGGGAGCCCTCTTAGGGGCGGTTAGCTTAGTGAGCTCACCCCGCGGGAGCGGGGGAGCGCTAGAGGTAGTTGGGTAGAGCAGCCAGCAGGGGGCAGCGTGGGACCCATATCCCAGCCCCAGGCGGACCAGAGGTGGAGGGGGTGGAGGGCGTAGGAGGGTGGGCGGGCGCTACCCACCCAGCCCAGGGGAGAGTCACAGTGCCTTAGAAGTGGCAGGGGTGAGGATCAAAGAACGGGGTCCCAGGGCTGGCAGAGGGTTGTGTCCCTGTTGAGGAGCCGCTCTGCCAGTCTTTGCTGGTCCATAGGCGTGAGAGTTTATTTTTGTACAATGGGTGGGGGTGGGGGGCACTGTACCCTTCTAGCCCCTTCAGGGGCCCTGTAGACGTCGCTATTTTTGGTACGATTCCTGTCATCCCTGTCGCAGAGTTGTGTCCCCAATAAACAGGTGTCTTGAGGCACAGGGCGCTGTGTCTGTCTGCCTATGTCCTGTCCTACTTGGGCGTTTTGTCCGGAAATACTTCTTCAGGCACTTAGTGTTCACCCAGAGAGCTAAATAAGGAATGAGAAATCTTGGGCTTCACCCCCAGACTTCGGCTTCAGTAGCTCTGGCGGTGAGGCCCAGGAATTAGCATTTAGCAAGTAGCCTAGGGGATTCTCATGCCCTATGGTCTGAGGACCTCATTTTGAGAACTGCTGGATCCCAGCTTAAGGGTGACCCCTCAGCCTCAAGAACTGGGTGCAGTGGGAGAGGTGGAACTTCGCAGAGTGCATTAAGCCTCCGAGAGCCACTGGCGGAGGGGCATTCTCCCGCACCCACGCCCAGTTTGGGGCCAGGAAGGGGTACCAAAAGCCTTGGTTTTATTTTCTGTGTTCCAGTTAATGGGTGAGGGGAAGTGCTCAAGGTAGCAGCATCACCTCAACCCAGGGTCTGCTCTAGCTCTTCCAACACAAAGTATGAGTAAATACGTTTAATATAACAATAGTATTATAATAACAGTAATTACATGTATAAAGTTTGTAGTACCCCCAACCCCCCACCCTCCTATAATGATTTGCAAAGCTCCATTTCCTATGACAACCCAGAGTGGAGTCACCAGGAACCACAGCTGACCTGGCAGAGATGAGTCTTCTAAGGGGAGAGTCTGGGTGGCACCACACGAAGGGGAGAATGCAGGCTGTTGGGGGAGGGCCAACACGGAGCAGTGTCCTGGGAGAATGCAGTGGCCCAAGATGGGGAAGGACCGGGTGAGGGCTCATTTCTCCCCCTCCAGGGCATGAAGGCAAGCAAAGAGTGGACACTTTGGTTCCTGCAGGAAGGCACCCGGCTGGAGAGAGCAAGAGATAGCAGCAGGGAAGCATGCTGGTCCTGTGACCTCCTCTCTGTCCAGAAAGCAGAAGGAAGGAATTCAGTGCTCTTGCAGTCCTCCACTATGTCCCACTGCCATCACGGCCCAAAGTGTGCCGAGAGGAAGGCCTCTAGCCAAGTTCTCCATCTTCTCTAGAAGCCAGGAGAGAAGAGGGAGATGGGTTGGGAGAGGGAAGAAGCTGACTTGCAAGAAGCTGGGGAAGGAAGGCAGTTGGTGCAAGAAGTTAGGAGTGTTGGATATAGTGGAAGGGGGCACTGACTCACCCAGGTCACAGAGGAGTGGTGGGGTCACTCAGGGCTCGGGCATGACTCTGCAAAAAGATGAACTGCAGTGAACTTAAAGGGTAAGGAAATATCCTTTTTCCTATATTTGCCCCCCCCAAGCCTGTCAATTCACCTTTCTTCCTCCCCCAGATTCCTCAATTTGGCTAATTTAATCCAAGTTCAGATACTTTTGGCATCCCCCCCACTTTTCCATCCACTCCTGCACTATGCACCTTATTAAAGATTCCTTTTCACTTCTGACCTCGATGCCTCTCCCCCGGGTCTAGGGATAGAGGAGAAAGGCAGACTAGACAATATATCCAACCTGTGGTTTTGCTGGGAACACAGGCTCATTGGTTCCCCCTGCCCCCATGGGTTGAATGAGAATAGCCCACTCAGAAAGTGACTGAAGAGATCACCCCACTTTCAGCCCTAGTATAGGGACTTACCTGCCGGGACAGCCCTAAGATCCCTCCACTGGCCAGAGTGGGAGTGCTGCTCCCAGGGTGGGGGGGCTGCAGGCTGGGGTTGTTTCTTGGTCCTGGGGACACATCTCCAGAAGAGTCAAGTGTTTCTGGGGCTGGAGGGGAAGCTAGGGTGAGAGCAGGGTATAGAACCCCTCTAGATTACCTTAAGCAACCAAGCTGCTCCATCAGGGAAGAAAAAGCTCCATAGCAACAGGAAGCTGTGAGTCACCATAGCAATCCAGTTGCAAGAGAACCCCCCTACCAAGAGGCAGGAAATTGTCAGCAGCATCATTAGAGCAACGAGGGAAGAAGCGACAGGAAAGTATAAGGATTGCCGTGGTGAACCAGGAGGGTACAACAGGAAGCTGAGCAGTTTCCATAGAAACCCAAGGAGAGCTAGAGAGAGAGGTACAGAGGAAGTGCTGCTTAGCAACAGGCTGCTGTAAGCATTATCCTAGCAACCAGATGGAAGGCTCTTTTAGCAATGGGGAAGCTGTACATAGTTGTCATGGCAACTGGGCTACTTGGCTAGAAAAAGGAATTGCTTAGCAGCAAGCAGCCTGAACATCACCACGATGACGCAGCTGTTGGGGGCCACCCCTTGAGAGGTGCCTCACCCAGGGAAATGTGCTTGACGTCCAGATCCCAGGCCTCCTCCTCGACGCGGGCAGGCAGGGAGCAGGCTCCCGGTGAGAGGCCGGGAAGGGAAGGGCCGGCATGCTCAAAGGATGACACGGCCACGGAAGCCCGGGTGCGGGCGGCTGCAGAGAGGGGGGTGGGTGGGTGGGGTGCTGGTGTGGGAAAGCCCTCCTGGCTCTCTGAAATGACCCTCAGTCTCACAGAGGGCCTCCCAGTCAGTCCCACAATTTCTGGGAAGACATGTCCACTCATTGCCCTTCTTCACTTTTCTACCATGCCTCCCCACTATGCCCTCACTCTCAAGGTCTTGACTCCTGGGAGTCGCCCCCACCCCCCAGCACTGTGGCCCTCACCTCTTCCAGTGAGCAAGGCACTCAGCGTCCGCTCCCCAAGGGCTTTGATGTCCAGGAAAGGTTTATTCCCAATGCCCATGGAGACCATCTGCTGCACTCGGAGCTCTAGGAAACAGAGACCCCGTTACCAACCTCCTTCAGCGCCCCCTTTGCTCTAAGCCCCAGCACTATCATGGTGGACTCTTCTGCCTCTTGCCAATTCTCATTCATCTGGTATCTCCTGTTACCCTTGCTGTCAACTGTCACTATGTGGATGGTGACGGTGGTCCTTAACCACCTCCTCAGACCCCTGTCTCTTGTCTCCTACATGTTGCACCCTGCCCATTTGTCATCCCAGCCATCTAACTTCTAATACTCACCCTCTGCCCTTTAACTTGGGCATTAAGAGCAAACCTCTCATTCTTACACACCTTTTATACACCTCTTACACACCTTTCTAGTTTATCAAGTGCTTCCATAGATAATTGGATTATTTATCCAATTATCTATCTATCCAATCCATAGAAATATGGATTATCTATCCATAGATAATCACCTATTTCACCATCCCTATCATACGAAGATGTAGCTGTCACTTTCCATTTTTTCAAGATCAGTGGAATGGGGTTCAGAGAATTAAAAACAAAACCAACCCAGTCCCCAAAACACAGAACAAAACACACAGAAACACTAGTCCGGGTCACACAGCATGTAAATTCTGGAACCAGGGTTTAGTGAGCACTCCTTCACTCTCTTTTGCCCTGCCCTTTGCTCTTGCTTTTCTGAAATTGGTAGCTGCCTGTTTCCTTTCGGTATACCTTAGACTAATCTCTATGCCAGCAACCTCTCTCCAGTTAGATCTGGAATCATCTCCTAAGTCATTCCTTTTCCATTCCACACCCTATGGTCTTCATGCACGCTAACCTCCCATTGTAGCCTGGATCCTAACCGCGCCCCCCCCCCGCCCCCCGGCCCCCGCTCACACCCTTGTTGTGAGCCGCCTGTCTCCACAGCAGCTGGGCGATAGAACTGGTCCACTTGAGTTTGATCTCTGGTGAGGCTGCCTGCAGAGTGTATGCTTCTCGAGCGCGCCGCCGCCGGAACCACAACTCAAAGCAGAGTCCGCTGTCCCCGATGTTTTCTGTGAGCCCCATGTCAGCAGTCTGAGAAAAAGCGGAGGAGAGTGGGTGAAGACAGAGTGAGTCCTGGCTAGATGGCACCACATGGAAAAGCACTACACTTAGCTTGGCATCTGGTAGATGTTCAGTAAATGTTTGCTCAACACCTACCATATGCCAAGTGTTCTACATTTAGCCTTCCTAACAACCATAATTTACAGAAGGGGAATGCCCAGAGACACGAAGTAACTTGCCCAGGGGCTTATCATAGCTTAGTGGAGAGAGAGGGTTCAAACCCACGTCTACATTATTCCAAACCTAGGCTTCTTTTTCTCTATTCTGTACTCCGCACCCCGCCCCTGCTCCCTGCCGCCCCCCCCCCAGCCCAGGAGCTGGAAAGAATGTAGGCAAAGTTTAGAAACCCTTAGTGGGGGGCACCTGGGTGGCCCAGTGGATTAAAACCTCTGCCTTCGGCTTCCTGGGATCAAGCCCCCCATCAGGCTCTCTGCTCAGCGGGGAGCCTGTTTCCCTTCCTCTCTCCCTGCCTAGCTCTCTGTCTACTTGTAATCTCTGTCAAATAAAAAAATAAAAATATTAAAAAAAAAAAAAAAAGAAACCCTTAGGGGGTGCCTGGTGGCTCATTTGGTTAAGCATCTGCCTTTGCCTCAGGTCATGATCCCAGAGTCCTGGGATCCAGTCGAGCCCCATATCCAGCTCCTTGCTCAGTGAGGAGCCTGCTTCTCCTTCTCCCTTTACGGGCCACTCCCCCTGCTTGTGCTCGTGCTTGCTCTTTCTCTCTCTCTCTCGCTGCCAAATACATAAATAAAATCTTAAAAAAAAAAAAAAAAAGAAACTCTTAGAATCATGCCATACTGCCTGATCTAGGACCATAGGTCTTTCTCTCTCTCTCTTTTTTAAGATTTTTATTTTTTTTATTTTTTTTTTAAAGATTTTATTTATTTATTTGACAGAGAGATATCACAGTAGACAGAGGCAGGCAGAGAGAGAGAGAGAGGGAAGCAGGCTCCCTGCTGCGCAGAGAGACCCATGCGGGACTCGATCCCAGAACCCTGAGATCATGACCTGAGCCGAAGGCAGCGGCCTAACCCACTGAGCCACCCAGGCGCCCTAAGATTTTGTTTTTTAAGTGATCTCTACACCCAGTGTAGGACTTGAGCTCACAACCCTGAGATCAAGAGGCAGATACAACCGATGCAGCCAGCCAGGTGCCCCTAGGACTACAGGTCTCTATTAATGTTTATCTGGATACCAAAGTAGTTTCCCTGAAGAAAGGCC